GTCCAGCTAAGCTTATCAGCTCACCCTTTTAGTCATCATCCAAGCCCAGGATTTTGCAATTGCCCCGCCAACAGCCACACTTTTCCTGAAATACATTATGTTTTTAATTGGATTTCATGCAAAGAGCAATGAGAAGCAAACCTCAGCTCCATGAAGAAAACACTCTTGCAACAGAACCAAATACCCAAATTCTCAACAGGAAGTTTCTGCTTGTTTAAAACCGCCACTTATCAAACAACTGCCTAGTTCCAACTTGCCCAGAAGACCATGATTTACACTGCCAATGCTGAGCTCAACTGTAGTTTGAGATAATTTTTAAGAAATGCTATGCAATCTCTCACAAGTGATCTAATTAAGTTCTTTGTTTTAGACCAACCTTGGCTTCCCTGATCCAGTCTCATGCTCTCTCTTGTTCTGGTATCTTTTTTTTTTTTTTTTTTTTTAAATAAAAAAAGCCCTCTTTTTCACAGCAGTTTCATAGCCCTTGATTCCTGCCCCCTCAAGATGGCTCCCACATCATTATGTGGGAACCCCCGCCCTCAAAGAATAGCCAGTGCACCGCCGCAGGTTTTGATCAATGGAGAAAAGATGCTCAGTGAAGTAGCGCCTTCACTTCCCCCAGCCCTGGAGCATGCTCTTAGAGATCCTGCTGCCTATAATCCGTTTAAAGCAACAGTAGACAATGAGCTTGGCAATATAGACACAGTCCAGCTGGCACAATCAAACCTTCCACAAAGTTCCAGGACCCTACAACTGTCCCCGAGTAGGAGCAGCCTCTTAACAGGCATGCCCGATGAGTTACCAGCGTGCCCACTGCCCCTGCTAAGGTTCACAAGTAGAGAAGCTACAGACGAGAGACAATAGAGCCAGCTCCAGCCCCACCCAGTGTGGGCAACCCTCCCGGGGCCCAGCCACTAGAGCAAGGAGCGAGCTACCAGCAGCTCAAGACAGGCGGCACCAGGGACTGCAGGGAGGACGGCGCCGGGGTTTTGGGGAGGGACCGAGAGGCGAATCCAACTGCGTGGCTGGGCAGCGAGCTCCCTTCCTTTGTTCGGCGAGCAGCCGCACGCAGCAGCAGCCGCCCGGGGCGGGTCTGCCGCGATCCCAGGCCCTGCGGCTCATCCCCAGACAACTGCGTCAGGGCTTCGCCGCGAGACAGCGAACCCCACGGGCGGCACATGCCGGCCAGCCCCGAGAGATCCGTCAAGGCACCGCACGGCTGGACCCAACCCAGCGACGGGGCTTCACGGATCCGGACGCCCCGTCTCCCTCCGCGTGCACGCCGCCGTCGCGAGAGGGAGCCCCTCAGCGTCACCCCAGCGCGCGGCTCCCCGTCACGGCCCGGCCAGTTTTGTCCCCCCGCGGGCAAACGGTCCCAACGGCCAGTCAGCCCCGTTCCCTCCCCGGTCCGCCCACCTGGAGCTGCTCCTTCCGTTGGGGTCCACGCCCTTGAAGGTGGTCGTGGTGGTCATGGCGGGGAGAGATGGGCGAATGCGCTTCCGAGCAAGAGGCTGGCAGGAGGTGAACTTCACTCCCCGCTGCTGGTGACAACTACTGCAGCTGCCCCCCACCCCAGCAGCCGGTTTTTATACCCGCAAAAAGACGCGCCCCACCCTTCGGCTCTCTCATTGGACGGTTCAAACCCGATCCCACCCACCATTGGGCGAGGAGCCGCCACTCTGTGCTTAGTCCCGCCTCAACCTGTATTCTGAGTGGCATAGGGCAGCCTTCTTCCCTGCCCCTAAACTTGATTGGGGGAGAAATAATGTTCTCTCAGAGTGGATTGGCTGCCTTTGGTGCCGGGATCCCTTTGTTGCTAAATGGAAAGTTCAGTTGTCACTCACCTGACTCGATTCTGATTGGCTCAACTATATATGAGGCCAGACAAATCTCCAGTAAGTCTAGTTCAACAGATTTTTCATTATGAGGGGGCACCGTTAGATTGGAACTGAAGGGTCCCCACAAATGGAGTGACTGGATCTAGCTTAGCAGCACTACAGTGGGAGGTATCAGGCCAGAAATTCAATATTTAACCCAATCACCACCACGTACAAAATACCTCAAAATTGCTCTCATGTTGCTGGTGCTGTCTCAGAAAGTCACCACACCATGATGTAATGCTCTCATGCCATGTCATTACCTCCAAAGGTAATCTTCCTGTGATGCAATGTGAAGCCACCATCTCAAAACATAATTTCAGCACCTACCCACATCCATATGCTGAAGTAGTCCCTAGCCCACAAAAAATTATGCCCAAATACAACTGTTAGTTTTTAAGGTGACACTCGATTTTTTTTAAATGCCCATCTAAGGCTATCATCGTGCTGTAACAAGCAATAACACCGATTGCCTCAAAATGTTCTGCTGCAATGCAATGGCGGCAACTAAAATTTCACAAACTCATGGGATACAACAAAATAGCACCACTTCAAAATCTGATCACACAATGATAATCATAGTGCAGCCTCTAACATCCAGACAAAGAGACATACAGCAGTGCTTCAAAATGTAACACACAGTAGTGATTTTGTGTCAAAAGATACGTGATGATGCATAAAATTCTGCTCTTTCAGAATCACATTCCGTTACAATACATTAGCACTGTATCAAATCAGATTCTATTCTATCCTCTATAGCTTCTTACACTACACACCACCAAAGTACCTGAGCACCTTCCAGCAATGCATTAAGAAACATGACTAACATTGGTCACATGTTTATTCTCTCATGATAGCTTGCAAAGTACCAAGGAAATGGACTAACCTTGAACTTAGTCATATGTTATTTGGAAAATGGGAATCATATTCAGATTGATTAGTTCATATTCTATTCTGATAAATAGCCCACTATAGTTATGTAGGTTAGAATTTTGTCTAATAGTTAATATGTCTCAAATCTCAGTTACTAGCCATAATTTCTATAATACCTTCCATCCAAACATTTAAAATGCTAACTGATTAAATCTCCTAACACCCCTGTGATGGAAATCAGGAGTATTAACCCAGTTTTACAGATGGGGAAATGGGGACACAGAGGTGAAATTACTTTACAAGGGTCATAAAAGTACCACAGAATGGAGATCAGAAGCCAAATTTCCAGTCCAACTTGCTTCTCTACCCACAATTCCAAATGGCATGTCCCAACTCAACTACATAGCCTCCCTATCACTCTCCCTTAGGAAACAAAAGGAAATGAGTGCCTCTCAGGTCTGAATACACTGACTTTTGTGACCCAGTTATAGCAGAAATTAATCTGTCTGTAATGGTATACCATCCACCTATCGCAAGCACCCTTTCTGGTCTAGTAGGAGTGCAGTTTTTTCCACTTCCTCTGCTCTCAGTTCCCCATCAACTGATGCACTCATCAAGCAAGCCTCCAGTGACTCAACCCTCCATTCAAGTCACACACACTCCAACTGCAAAACCAAACCAAACCAAACCAACTCCTTCTGGGATATATTGTCCAACCAGGCCTAATCGCAAAACCTTTAGTAATATTCTGCAGCTCTTCCTGGGTTCAGTTCCTTTTATAATCCAAAAAGCCCCATCACTGTACCTCTCCATCAGCAACATTTCTATCATCAGACTGAGGATGAGGGAAGGCTAATCAGGCGTATTTCAGTACCCAACTTGGCAAGCTTATGTGCAAAGATTTCTGTTCTGGGATGGAGCAAAACCCCTAAACTACCTTCTAAGTACATAAAAGGTTCTTACAAGGAGGAGGGAGAAAAACTGTTCTCCTTAACTTCTGAGGATAAAACAAGAAGCAGTGACTTAAAATGCATCCAGGCAATTTAGGTTGGACATTAAGAAAAACTTCTTAAGTATCAGGACAATTAAGTACGGAAGTAAATTGCCTAAGGAGATGGTGAAATCATCACTGGAGATTTTTAAAGAGCAGGTTAGAGAAACACCTGTCAAAGAAACAAAGAAAACTGCCATGGGTGCAGGGGGCTGGACTAGAGGACCTCGAGGTCCCTTCCAGGTTTACAAGTCTATGACTTCACCTGTCCTTTAGTCCTCTAGTCCTGGTTCTCCAACTGGGTCAGCTTCATTTTAGTTTTCTTCTGGGGGTGGGGTAACAGTTCCATCCCTTCCCTGGGTCTGTCTAAACTGTCCTCTCTCAGGGCACAGCCAATTCTTCAGTGACTGTTGTTGCAAGGGGACCCACTTCTCCAGGCCCCAACTCAGAAATTCTCTAAGTAAGAGAATAACTAAATTTCCCTGGGCCACTTCCCCATAGCCTTTATCTTTTCTGAGTCCCAGCAGCCACTCAGAAATACCTTCCCTGCTCCCCTGGTTCCTGGCTGCACCTCCTGCAGACAGACAGGAGTCCCTTCCTTATTCCTTTGGCCCTTCTCCTGCAGCCAACCAGAACCACCTTTTACTTCCCCAATGTCTACCTACAGACTGAACTCATGTGAGCTCTGAAGCTCCTTTCATATGGACCTGCTGAGCCCTACGGAGTCTTTCCTGAATGGCTTCAACCCATGTAGCCACTTTGGGGAGCTTGAAGGATCTTTTTACTGCCATTTTCTGGGGCAAGGAGTGGCAGGGAGGAGGCCTAAGAGCCTGGGTCCACCCAAGTCACACTGGCTCACTTTAGATAAAGCACAATAATAATTGCATATAGAAAGTATTAGAGTAAAACATGATTCAATGTGAAAGCATTGTAAAAAATGATTTTAAATTATACTTTGTTTTATTGTTCCAGAATAGCCCATTACGTGAGGGGATACAGACATGTATGGAGAAGAGGCCACAATCTTGAATTCTATCTTACAAAATCTCCCATTTTTATGTTCATTTTAGATTTAAAATATAAAAATTAAAGGATGACCACTTTCCTTTTAGTCTGAAAACAAACAGCTAGAGCCTTAGAAATCCACTCATTTCTGATTGGTTGAAGCTAGAGTCAGTTCTCTTGGCTAATCATAAAATATTTTTGCATTAATGGTCACAATATAATCAGCATCCATCAGAAAAATTGACTCTACTTACATTATGCTGGCTAGGCCGTATGAGTAACAAAATGAAGTTACGGAAAATAATATTCTTGCAAGAGGAGTATCTGCTTTGAGCCTAGCTATCTTTTGCCAAGGTGTTTATTTTATATCAGTATCTTCACTGTGACTTTGTACAGCTTGCAGCATCAGACCATGCTATATTTTATTTCCATTAATTGATTTAATCACCTTTTTATTTGAAAGCCAATTTGAGTAAATGTAAAAAAGATACTCTTCTTGAAGTATCTCTTTGCACCCTAGAAGTTATTAGCCACTCAGCATGTTTGATTTCAGAACATTCTGATGTCAAGCATGTCATAATACTTTGCATTTCTAGAACCTCTTTCACATGAACATCTTAAAGTGTTTAACAAACATTAATCCTCAAACCACTGGCTAGATGGATATATATTATAATCCTAATTTTGAAGTTGGAGAAACTAAGGCACAGAAAAGGTAAGGCCAGCATTTTCAAACTTGAGTTCCTAAAGATGGACACTTAAATCTATAATTCAAGGCCTGAATAAAACTGCCTGATCTTCAGTATTAAGTACCCAGAGCTCCCATTGAAGACAGCTGGATTTCTAAAACTCAAGCCACTTTTCTTTAGGGTCCATATATATTGATGTAAATCTATAATTGTAGGCACTCACATTTGAAAATGATAGTACAGGCTATTTGCCCAAAGACAAGACTTTATCTGAACTCAGAGAAGAGTCCTGGCTACTAGTGCCCCATTTTAATGCCTAGATTACACTTTTTTATTAACAGAACAGATATGGAAAAATAAGTCTCAGGGTGTCCAAAATATTATTTGAAGGGATGGCCATGATTTGTGAAAGACCAGTAAAATTAAACTGCATCTTAGTGAGGATCTAATGAGTTTGTTGCATTAGCATTTTTGTATTAAAGGTCATGTGGTCCCTATTGTATTTAGCTAGTATGCATTACCTGTGGCATTTATATTCATTATGGGCCTATTCATATCCTCATTAGAAAACTCAGTTTTCACCTTTTTTTTTTTAAAGTGCTGAACCTTTGTCCTGATCCACATTGGAAGTAAAACCAAGTTCAGATGAACCTGTTCCTGACACCTATCAGCAGCAATAGGTCATTTTTCTAATGAAGATGACATCGTGCAGACACACTCAGACCGTAGGAAGCAGAACTCAACAGCAAACCTCTAAGCACTTAGTGCTGGCAGTCTTCAGAGGAAGGATCAACTTAAGTCACAGGGATACGAATGGCAAGAACATACCAGGACAAAGGTCCAAAGGACTAGTTTTTGGGCTTTAAAAAGATTTGGTATGCTACCCCTGCTACAGTTTATATGTTGGAATGAGTAAGTGCCTTCTAGTAATCAGTTTGCTAGATTAGTTGAAAGAAAAGTCTCTGAAAAATTTGGGGACAAAAATGGTTTTGGTTGTCAAACATTTTAAGGCAATAGGAGCTTGTACCCATAGTCATCTTCCAGTACTATTGAAGGCAGCTGTTAGCCTGAAAGTGTCTCCTTAATCTAAAAGCAACAACAGCTAGAAAATCAGGTACTAGACACAAAGGAATTGAGGTTAACTGATTGCAGCTTTTGTTTTAATATGTTGAAATCCTTCTGCAAGGACCTAACATAAAATTACTAGGGATATTCTTAAAGCTGCAGCACCTGACATTGCTACAGATTATATTTTTTCACTCTTTTGGACAGGGAAACTTTTGTAAATTAGGTATAAACCCAATTTAAATGGTCTGATTTCTTTAAAAAAATCATACAGCTCCCCATGATGTTGACAGGAATTCAATGAGGTTAGTGACAAATGAAGCACCATTGTACTTCTGTATGAGGTTAAAGGATTCCTTACCACTTTTGAAAACATATGGGTGCTCCCTGCCTGTCTTTTTTACTCCTATTCCCTTAAGGGAGAAGGAACAAGACTGAAAATGCACCTGGCAGTTTTCAGACTAACTGTAGGTAAGAGTGATCAAAAAATTAAATGAGAACTCGTCCTCTATTTTCAGAAGCTGAAGCAAGTTAAAACAGATTTTTCCAAAGTTTTGGCATAATACCATGCAGCTGAAAGAATTTGAGATTTGGAGTGGGTTTTCAGAAATCTCAGGCTGGAGAAGTCTTTCCTAGCCAGGTTGAATGACAGAACATCTGAAGACCAAGGGGAAAGTATTCTCAGAATCCCACCCAGAACTCTGATTTTCGATCTTAATTTTCCTTCACTGAACTTTTTTAAAAAAAGGAATCACCTGTGGATCTAGATAGAGAAATATCTGCAACGAAGAGCAATGTCATCTCCCCAGAACAGTGTGATTTTGAAGTGCAGTCCAGAACAATTGCATGCTGAGGAAGAAAATACTCTGCTAAATTTTAAGAAATCCCTAATTCTAGTAACGGGGGAACATGCAGTGGCCTACAACAGGAGACTAATACTCCTGGATATTTATTTGAAAGTTACCACAAAATACAGGCATATTCTGTTAATTTATTCTACCCAGAAGTTTAAGGTGGCTAACGTGTTACTAGGTGATATGAGAAAACACCATTCAGTCATTTAACTTTCTTAAAGCATAGAAGCCATAATCTACCATGCAAGAATCATTTTGACTGACATTTCATTTGCTAGGGCAGGAGGAATAGGGAATCACTCTTAAAAAAAAACACACACAACACCCACAACTCTTGGAGCACTTGCAAAAGGTGGTCATGAAAAAGCAGGGCTTTACTTTCTACTTCCTTTATGCATTAAGTACTTGTGAGTAGCTGAAAGCATTAGGAGATTCCAAGTGACATAGAACAAACAAGAAAACCAAACAAGAATATTCTACTCAGACAGTGAGGGGAGGAAGTAATAGAGAGATCTTAGCGGCTTTTCACTAAAGTCTTGATTACAGCTCCACTCCATTGTATCCCTCTTGTTTTGTACTCTTCTTGATATGAATCAGGATTTAAATGGGGCCTGAACTCTTCTTCTTTCATCCTATAACACAGCATAGCGTCGAAGCAGGGTTTGAACCTTCTTTACAATACCTGAATGTGTCCATCTACAAAGTCTGATCTACTTTCTGTACAGTACTTCATGGATTCTGACCTTAGCATTCCAAAATATATCTCCCCTAATCCACATTAATGTAAACCGAACACTCTTCCTCTCAATCTCCCAATCTGTAAAATGGGAACTGTATTTATTTGCTTACCACATAGGGTGTGTCTGTTCTACTCCTGGGAGAAAGTCTCCCACTATGGGTAGACAAATTTGCACTAGCAGAGTTGTGCACTTAAAAATAGCAATGTGGATGCTGCATCTCAGGCTGACCCCAAGTGGCTAGTCTGAGTCTCTGCCAGGGCTACAACATCCATGCTGCTATTTTCAGCGTGTTAGCTCATGCCCCACTAGTGCAAGTGGGTTGGAAAATTTACTCCCAGCTACAGTGCAGTCATTACCCACAGAGGTGTAGATGTTTGAGGATTAAAGTTTGTACACTGGTAGAGAGATATAAAGAACTACAAGTGCTAAGTATTACCACTATGCAGAAAAATTGAGAAAACTGATTATTTTAAACAAGAAGTTTATTTAAACAACAAGACGCTTTACTTGAAGGGAAACTATCTAGGATCAATGTTTTTTGGAGTAATTTACCCCTACTTAGACAGAGATTGCTCTACATGTAACAGCTACGTACAAAAAAGTTATAAAATCGTCCTTGGTTTTACAATGATAAAAGAAAAACATTGAAATTATCCAATCAAACAAAGTATGCAATGTTTTTGTTTGTCAACAGTGAGAGCAAAATAACTTACTGGAATATAAAGATAAAAGTTGAAGGAGCATGCCACAATGGAGAAAAGGGGTATTTTCACAGAACCAGGCTTTTTTTCCCCACCCCATCTCCATTCCATGTTGATCAAAACATACCATTGGCCATTTAGTTAAAAAAAATATGCATTGTGTCTGTGCACATACACCAGATACTTTATGTACAATAGAAGGAAGAGGAAAAAAGAGAAGAGAAAAAACTATACTGCAGTAGTCAGGATGTGGCTGAACCAAGTCTCATTTTTCTAATTGTGAATGTGTTGTCTGTGGGAGCACAGTTTTGGAGAGAAAAGTAGCAGGTTCTCTTTTTAGTAGACTCCTCCTGTCTGCTGCTGGAACACATCAATTGTATCTTCATCCTCCATTTCCAACTGTATCAGAAAGAAAGAACTGCTTTCAACTCAGCTGAGTAAATATTAGACATATTCGAAATGTCTTAATTTCACATCTTCACATATCTCTTACCACAATTTTAAATGAGCAGAAAAAAAAATCCCAAATGTATGCATTCACTCTGCTTTATAGGAACATGAAACTTTAAGAGTGATATAAAGAACAGTGGATAATTGACTAAAACAAAATTAAGATCCATGACTATATTGATATGCTCTAAGGGCTTCACAGACAACTCTGTTGCCTACATTAGACCATTTCACTCACATCCACCCTCCTCCCCGCCTCCATTCCACTTTGTGATTGTTCAAATGCACAGCATTTTAAGTGGCTTAAGTTACAGTATTTTTAAAAAAAAAAAAAAAACCACCAAACCAAACCCACCACACACACAATGTTCAAAGTCAATAAGAAAATGGGATACTAGTTACTAGATACAAAGAATTTGACTATAAAGAGTTTCTAGACATGTTGTATGGCCAATGTAACAAACAGTACCAGAGTACAACATGCCCTATTACTAGAGCTGTGTTTGCTATAACACACTGCAACCTCCATACCACAGGGCTACGTCTACACTGGCCCCTTTTCCGGAAGGGGCATGTAAATTTCACGAGTCGTCGTAGGGAAATCCGCGGGGGATTTAAATATCCCCCGCGGCATTTAAATAAAAATGTCCGCCGCTTTTTTCCGGCTTTTAAAAAAGCCGGAAAAGAGCGTCTACACTGGCCCCGATCCTCCGGAAAAAGTGCCCTTTGAAGTAAGAATAAGAGCCTCCGGAAAAGGGCACTTTTTCCGGAGGATCGGGGCCAGTCTAGACGCTCTTTTCCGGCT